GGTGAGGAGGGGTGTGGGGGTGAGGAGACTGGGGTGAGGAGGGGGTGAGGGGAGAGGAGACTGGGGTGAGGAGGGGGTGGGGGGTGAGGAGACTGGGGTGAGGAGGGGGTGGGGGGAGAGGAGCCTGGGGTGAGGAGGGGGTGAGGGGAGAGGAGACTGGGGTGAGGAGGGGGTGGGGGGCGAGGAGACTGGGGTGAGGAGGGGGTGAGGGGCGAGGAGACTGGGGTGAGGAGGGGGTGAGGGGAGAGGAGACTGGGGCGAGGAGGGGTGTGTGGGGGGGGCGAGGAGGGGTGTGGGGGGCGGCGAGCGGCCCGCAGCGAGGGGACGGGTGAGGTGGGAATACCGGGTGAGGCGGCGGGCACAGCTCGAGGACATCGTGGCCCCGGGGGTGAGGGCGCGCAGGGAGGGCCTGGAACCCGTGGCTGGGTCGGCCTCGCTCACCTCCGGCACAGCCTGCGCTCGCGTGGGGATCCGTGGCCCACCTGCGTGGCGGGGGGCACGCGGCGGGAGCGGGGCACAGCACCCCGCCCCTTTCCGTTACCAGACCCGCCCCCCGGAGATGGCTTCTCGCCCTCATTGGCCAGTCTCCGGGAGCGGAAGGGGCTGGGCCGCAAACACGTGAGTGTGCCGCCCTCTGGCTGGTCCAGAGTCTCGGCCTCGAGGTCTCATTGGCTGGTCTCCAGAGCGCAAGGGGCGGGGTCGCCCCGGCTGGTCTCGCCCGACCGAGCCCTGGCTGAGGTGGTGGCTGGAGAGCCGAACTGAAGGGAGGTGCCCTCGTGGACCTGATCCTTGCCTTCCTCTCCGTGGTTCATGAGTGCGAGGCCATGCACGCGGGGCCCTGTCCCCCGACCACTGTGTCCCCGGTGTCCAGGACAGCGCGCGGCCCCGCGGGGGCTAGTAAGCATGTGTTCAGTTGGCTGTGCCCAGATGTTCTCCGTCTGGACGACGACGTGCTGGCGGTCACTGCTACGTCTGTCTCGCAGGGCAGGAAGCTGCGGCTCCGGGAGGTGGGGCAGGGACCGGAGTTCCTGCGGCTGCGAAGAGCCCCCAGGCACCGCCGGCCTGCGGGCAGTGCAAGCACACCGCCCCGAGAGGGGCTGCAGAACCGCGGTGGTCCAGACCGCAGAGACGGCGCGTGCCTGCGCCGGCGGGGCAAGGCGCTCAGTCTCCAGAGGGCTACGGGCACCTTGGGAGGGCAGGAAGCAGGGGGCCACACGGTGACGGGGTCTCTCTTGGCTGCCGGAGGGGAGGCGAGCAGGCTGTTCGGCTGAGTGATGCTGGAGATGTGGACCGCCTGCGGGTGGTCGCGCCGGAGCAAGGACCCGAAGTCAAAGCCATTCGGAGGCTGACTTGACCGCGCTGGGTTATGTGGCCGGCGAGGGAGAGAGGAGTGAGCTGGTGGCCGGAGGGCGATACCACTGGCCGAGGGGCGGCGCAGGGGGACAGAAGCCAGTTCGGAAGGTTGGTAACTTCAGTTTTGATTCCACATCAACTGGACTTTCTCTCAGGGAGTCTGAGTGTTAGCAGACTGATTGCAGAGGAGGAGACACAGCTAGAGTTGAGCCCGACGGTTCCGGGCACAGAGGATCTGCCCATGTGCTGAGGCCATGCCCCTTCTGGACCTGGTTCCCTGGCTGTCCGTCCCCACCTGTGAGCCACCCTGCGTACTTGTACTCAGTCCACCTTTGCTCGGACTGCCCAGAGCTGATTCCTGTTGTAGCACCGCAGAAACCCATGAATCAGGAGTAGCTCCGATGGGTAATGAAGGCAGCTTCAGGAAAGTCTAGGAGTTTACCAGGATGACAAACGACATAGCATTCCAGGCAGAAGTTTCATCGAAGGCAAAGGCAAGGGCGTGGAAAAGCTTCCTTTAGGGAATGGAGAATGTGGTTTGGGCTCAGGAGGGGCGGAGGAGACTCAGAAGGTCGTCTGGGCTGGGCTGGGAGGGCCGCGGATACCCTGCCTAGCAGATGAGGCAGGCTGACGTGCCTGGCAGAGCCCAGGCCAAGGACAGGCTCTCAGGAAGCCTGAGGATGTCAGTCCGGCCTTCCCATGAAACCAGCTAACTGTTCACCAAATGTTTCCTTTATATCCTTGTCACAGAGCCAGACTGCGTTTTCCAGCCCCCCTTGCAATATGAGCTCTGGCTAGTGGATGTGGTCAGAAGTGCTCCGGATCACTCCCCGGCCGGATCCTCTTGCTCTCTTCCCCATATACCTGCTGGATGTTGAAGTCCAAGGCAACTTGGGACTGACTTGAGGAAGGCAGGGCTTCTGTTCTGTCAGCCTGCCTTTGAATAATGGTATGAGCAGAGTCTCCCTCTCAGCCAACTGAACAAGAATTAAACTTCTATTGGGTTAAGCCATGATGATGTCAGGATTTGTCTGTTCTGGCTGCCAGCCTTAACTAGTGCAGATCTGCAAACCCCAGGGGTACAAGTAGCTTATTCAGGTTTTATTTTTTTTTTAAAGATTTTATTTATTTGACAGAGAGAGACACAGCGAGAGAGGGAACACAAGCAGGGGGAGCGGGAGAGGGAGAAGCAGGCTTCCCGCGGAGCAGGGAGCCCGATGTGGGGCTCAATCCCAGGACCCTGGGACCATGGCCTGAGCCGAAGGCAGACGCTTAACGACTGAGCCACCCAGGCGCCCCAGCTTATTCAGGTTTGATGGGTTGTCGCCAGAGGTTTTTACCTTGGTTTAGCATTATGATTTTTCCTCTTACTTATTTTAACCAAGAACAAATCTGATTGAAAAACAAAAAACAACAACAACAAAACATCTTTGGATTTCAACATTAACGAAAAGCCAGTTTTTTGGGAGACTCTGCTCACTGCTCTGCCAGGGTAGGTTACACAAGTACCCAGAGTGGCAGAGGTCTGTGAAGAGATTTCTGGAAGCCCAAGAAAGCTCTGATATGGAGCGTTAACATTTTGTGAGCTTAGATTTATAAGCTTCTCACTGAGACTCAAAGGTGGTTAGGAGCCTCTGCCCTGGGAATATCTCAGGAGCTCTCTTCAAAGCTGCTACAGGAGCCTACAACTCCTTAGTTTTCAATTTATCTTTTGAGGAGTTTGAGACATTTTCACGAATACTTCCTATAGGCACATCAAACTCAACATTTAAAAATATCATCCAAGCACCCAAAGTAGAAAGTGTGAATAATCTTCGATGCCTCCCTATCAGGTTTTTTAGACCTACCTTTGACATTCTTGGTGTCCTGAGTCTCCCTTTGGTAGTTTAAGCCCCGCCATTTCTCCCAAACCCCACCCCCCACCACGAGTAGCATGGACAGGTCTCCTTGTTTCGGTCTTCACTGCCCCCTACTTTGTTCGAATGTCATTCTGGTTGGCCAGAATGATCCCATTAAAATTTAGGACAGATTAGATCACCCTCAGCTCACACCTCAATGGTTTCTCCCATCATTCAGAGAAGCCCGAGCCTGGCACCTGAAGCCCTGATGCCCTAACCCACCTGTCCCCTCCTGCTCCCACTACCTCCATGCCAGCCACAGCCCTTCTGGTGCTGTTCCTGCACTGTAGCCAGCTCCTCTCACCTGGAAGCTCTGGCCCTGGCTGTCCACTCTGCCAGGGATGTGCTGCCCTTGCACCCTCACTTCTTTTGGGTCTGAGTCAGATGGCCCTGCTCAGGAAGGCCTGCCTTCCCAACCCTGTCTGAAATTGCCACCCACCCCTCCACTGCTCCCTCCCCTTACTTTTCCCCTTAGCACTTATTACCATCTGCCTTACTATATAATTTACTCATTCTTCTTGCTTAGTGCCTGTCTCCCCACTAGACTCTAAGCCCCAGAGGGAGGGACTGTTTGGGCCAGTTTTATTCACTGCTGTATCTCAGTGCCTAGCACACTATAGCACTCAATAAGTACTAAGTGAATTATTCAAAAAGCCTCCTGGTTTCCATGCCAGTCACTCCATCCCCTGATCCATGCCTGTTTCGCCCAATCATGAATTCCATGTGGCAGATGCCCCGTTCACCACTGAATCCCCAGCACAGAGCCAAGTAGATGGTGGGTGCTCAATCAACAGTGCTTCATAAGAGAAGGCCCAGGACTGTATCGAATTCATTCCTGGGTTCTTAGCAACAAGCAGAGTGCCAAGATCTAGGTCCCTTCTAGCATGCTAATTAGCAATAGTAATTAAGTGCCTACTTATACTTTCCATAAACGTTTTTTTGTTTACTTTTAATGTTATTTTAATGTAAAAAGTCAACCTGAGGGAAGAAGCATGTGTTGCTCCAGATTATACTGTGTGCGCTCTCACAGACATGACCACCTGGCATGCTGACTATGGCCAGGAGTAGGCCGTGGGCCTCCACAGGGCGGTGCTCCAGCCCAGAGGCATGCAGAGGGCATGACCGTTCATGGAGACAGCGGCTGGGCCCCACTCTCTGGCAGACAAATAGAAGTGGCCCCAGGGAACAGGTGAAGGTTCTGAAGCAAGAATTTATTCCAAGTGGGTGTGGACAGTGGTGACCTCAGGAGAGACATGCATTTCAAAGTAGGTCACAAGCCTCTCAGTCTCCCAGCCCCATCTCCTCCCCCTGCTACCTCTCTGGTCTGAGCTTGGGCAGGGGAGGGCCTCCTAGTTCCCAAACAAAACAAAGGTACCTAAGAGCTAAGAGAGAATTACAGAGGTTTATTTTTATTAGTATCTAGCAAGAAAAAGAATCAAAATTCCCTCCCTGCTCCAACCCCACTTCCACCACCTGGGCCCCCAGGGAGCAGCATCTGCCTGGGGAGTGCCTGCTGCCAGGGCTGTCCTTGGAGCCTGGACACCTGCGCGTGGTCACCCCCGTGCCTGCGAGCCGACCCCAGGCCCCTTCCTCCACAATGTGGGCATGAAAGGGCAGCTGGCATTTCTCCAGCCCTCAGCTGTCAGCCTTGGGGACTTGGAAAAGATCAGCGATGTCCAGCAGAGCTTGGCGGATGTGGTTCCCAAAGCGCTGGGCATTCTGTGGGAGCCAAGAGCTCAGACTAACGCTTTAGGTGAGCCCCTGTCCCTCTGTCCTCACAACCAAGGGCCCTTCCCCAGCCAGACAGGGCCCCAGGGGGCACCCCCTCCTCAGGCCTGAGCAGGAGCAGGAGAGACTCACTGTCTCTGAGCTTGAGAACTTGCTGGAGATGTGGAAGAAGATGGTGTTCTCGCCCGCAATCATGTAGGAAACCCCATAGCCATCATCTGCCACCTGAGGGCAGCACGAGCGGTAAAGAAGAGGTAAACCAAACTTTGCAGATGTGAAAGCCAAGCTGAGGTCAGGCTTGCTGTTCCCACAAGCTTCCCAGGAAGGGGCCTACCCCAGATGCTGCACTTCCCCTGAGGTCAGGAACATTTCCAGGCAACAGTGTGAAAACCAAGGGGCTCTGCCCACTGCAGATCCAGACACTACCAGGGATCCAGGATATTGTGTTTCTCTCAGGAGGCTCACGCTCACTGCCCCTCTCCAGGGAGTGTCTTTAGCTCCTTGAGGCGCCTGTCTATCTGGGTTGGTAGCTACCCATTTTGTTTCCAGGCAGGGCAAGCCCAGGGCTGTGCTCCCACCCCTGGTCTGACTTCAGGGCTCTGTACTCTCTACTGAGACCCCTGGGGCCCACTCCTGCTCATCCATCCCCCTTTCAAGGGGACTTACCGGGCCAAAGCCACCACCGGCACCCAGGTGATTGGGGTACTTGTCTGGGTCAAACATACGGATCTGGAATTGAGCAATCTGGCTGGTGGAGAGACGCCAGGGTTCTGAGAGCACCTGCAACAGGGAGATCACAGCAGTGAGA